AAAATCAAAGGTGCAAATCGGAATACACCTGAAATGAGTGAATTCACGTAATCCATTGTGTCCACAGGTCCGGGCGTATGTCCCGAAGCGCTGGAAGTAAGGGCAGGTTCGGGATAGGCCATCTCGAAAGGTTGGTTGGGGCTGGACGTTGAAAGGTAGAGTGAAAGTACGGTCGGTTATGGCGCAATGGCATGGGATGGTATGGTGGTCCTCGGGCTGGTTTCCAACGTCTGCTCTGTTGTTGTTGTTGTTGTTGAATGTGGACGGGGGCGAGTTGTGCCGTGTTCGGCTCTCGATCCCGCTGCAGGACGCCAAAGATGTCCTTCACCTGGTTCGCACTTGTAGTGCCGCTGCAACCGAGTGGGGAGGACTACCCAAAATCCTCTCGCGGAGTTTAGGGGCTCGGGTACCGACAATGAGCTGCTCAAGGATTTTTTCTTCCGGCTTTCCGTCGGTTAACTCCTAGAAAGCGTCTTCACTTAGTCGCCGCAGTTCTCGGACAAAATTCGTCGGCCTTTCGCCCGACAGTTGGATCCGTGACTGGAACCGATATTGATGTCGGACTGGGTGGATCCGCTCTGTCAAGCATGTGCGAAGCCCTTCAAAGACATCTTCCGGGACCCCACCTTCCAAGACATGTTCGTCTTGTACTATATCCCGAGCTTCTCCATCCAATAAGGAATGCAGCACAAGCTTTCGTTCACTGGCAGGAAACAGCTGGATGTATTCCGCTGCCCAGCGGCGGAAATTGTCACCCATGCAAAAACTTATCTGGTGGCGGGATAGTCGGGGGAGATCGAGTGTGGATGAATCCGACGCTAATAACCGAAGACAGAAGTGAGAAAACCGACATTAACATTCTGTAGCACAAGGACCAAAATGAACCGCCGGATGCGACAGGTTCATCTTCAGTATTTCCGTGGGATCGGGTACGTGTCATTGGTAAGAATCCTGGCGTTGTCGTCAACTACGTAATATGTCTGCGTGTATAAAAGTACCC